GCAAGCTAGCTGTGACTGGGGTCACATCCACTGAGAATCTTGGAAGGACGACACCGTGCCTAGGACAAGGAGCGACGCCCTGTGGGAGAGGCGAGTGTGGGGAAAAATAGTGATTAGCTCAGCGCCCATCGATGAACCAGGATTGGGGCAGCTGAATCTCAGGGATTGGAACGGCGACGACGCGAAGGCTTCACGACACCTGAGGACCTGTGGAACGTCCTGGATCGTCGAGGATCGACCCAAGGAAGCGTGGGAACCTCACACCATCGAGGGACAGGCGTCGTGAGCCAGGAGTGTAAGGTAGATCATTTTTCCCTCCCATTACCCCTTGTATGAGTAGGCTAGTTAGGCCACAATATTTACTTGTGTATGTGGCAGCAAGACTTTATTACTTTAATAGTAGAATAGGCTGCAAGGCAGCTTGTGTCCAGGACTGTCAGAGAGGACAGTGTGTATGGACGGCAGGACAGTGAAGAAGAGGTGCCGACGTGGTGAAGAGGCCCTCCTGTGAGAGTGCGAGACTCCTGTCCTGCCCAGTTGAAGGAGTGTTGGATGGTCGTGGAAGAAGAGGCTGACGATCTCCAGACTCATTATCCATATTCCATATTCATGTATTACTTGTGATTGTGTGTGTGTGTTCATGTAATTTGCATCAGTAAATCCACACATTTTATTACTGTGTTTGAGTGTGCCTCCATTTATGATATTTCTCTATGAGCATACATTTCTGGCTACAAACAATATATAATACACCCACTGAACTGCATTGCTGGGGTGCAGATATAATAACCCAGCTGGCGACCTTGCTAAGAGGAAGATAGAGAAGACAGGCGGGAAAGGAGTTCCTGCAACCTTTTTTTGTCTGGCAGGCAAGGCTCAGGGAGGTTATGGTTATAAGGTAAGCCTGAGTCTTCCTTCACTCCCCCACGGGTCTAGGCCGGAACTGTTAACAGCAGTTTCCCCGTGTTTGACTGAAGGGCTTCCAGGTGAATCAGTGGCACCCCTTTGTGGTGGAAGCAAAGACCTGCGGAGGTGGGCATTGTTGGTCCTCTCTTGTGTGACCAAGGAGACTCCGGTGAATCCAGGGAGTCGGAGGGGCTGAGTATTTGGGCCTTTGAGCCCCTAGCAACCGAGTGTTAGCAGAGCCCCGGACCGCCCACCCCCACGTGACAGCAGCCAACTCCTGCCGAACATAATGCAACACATCACCGGTGTCCGAAACAACGGTCCCTTCCGGCTGTTGCAGAGCCGTAAAAAGAACAGAGTTCCACACAGCCCTCACCTTCCCTAAAAGAAACAGAGAGCCGTTCCCCGTCCACACGCTCACTCACACGAGCACGCACACGAATACCCTCACCCCACTCATTCTGCAAACCACAAATGCGCTCCTTACACTCCACAATCTCCCCAAAACATTCAACCCCAGCATTGAACCGCACAAACCGCGAAAGCCGTGCCTGTAACAACCGCAGCAACTCAAAGCGCCCAGCAGCCGCACGTTTGGCAACCATGCGAAAGAACAACCGACACTGCACCTTACTCCACTCCCACCACTCCAAAACAGTAGGAAACGCACATCACCAGGCCAAAACCCCAACCCACCAAATCCGAAACTGCCTACAAACTCGCGGACAACGCAACAACCCACAATTAAGCTTCCACCACCCCGCACCGACTCGCACTTGACTGGGCACATCAACCCGGACCACTACTAAACTATGGTCCGAGAATGCAACTGGGACAGTGCTGAAAGCAAACACAGAACACTCCCCTCCAGTAACATATACCCGATCAATCCGCGAACTCGCCCCACGCAAAGAAAATGTAAAAGATAACTCGGCCCCATAGAGCACAGAAGCGTCCTTGAAACTGCAAGAACGCACCACCTCCAGCAGCACACCCGAGACATTCTGTGGGTGAGCGCTACTACAGTCCTGCGCACTCGTCACGCAATTAAAGTCCCTCCCAAAAATCATACCTCGCATATCATGACGCAAGAAAGGGAGAAGTCCCACTCGAAAAAACTCCTCCCACTACTGACGGTGCGCGGCCCGAGGGAGCGTACATCGCCGCCGGAATGACGACCCCTAAAAATTCCACCCTCACAAACAAAACCCGCCTATCCTCGTCCATCTCCGTGTGAAGCACGGAGAAGAAAGCCCTCCTAGAAAACAACATAAGGGTCCCCTTGAAGGACGTCCTCAGCGGGTTTAGCACAACACTGAAATGCACACTCAAACACTGCAACATGGACACAACATGCACATTATGCTCCTGAATCAAAGCCACATCCACATGCTGCTCCTGCAGAACATCCAACAGGCCCAACTGGACCCCCAGATCGTTCAAACCCCGAACATTCAAAGACGCACAGACAACCGAGGGCGCCATCGGGAGAACCTCAGGACACCCCAACCCGACGCGTCCCCTGGAGGACACATCCACCACCGGAGGCACACCATGGCACACATCCGGTCGCACACCAGCCTGAACCCCAGGGCGCTCACTACGGTCGACGCCGGGCACCGCACCGAGCCCCACGGAGGACGGCTCTGCAGGCGCCCCAGTGTCCCCCACCAACCGGAACAGGGGCAGAGGTCCCCTGATGCACATCCTTCGACAGCACTACTACCAGGTCGCAATCACCCGGGGCAACCACCCACTGAGGGGAGCCATCAGCAGGAGGTATATCGTCCAACACAGAAGGCATCACAGAAGACAACACAGCGACGTCCACAGCATCGTCATCCATCGCATCTCGCTCCTGAGCCTACGTCCAGCAAGGCGACGCAGTCCGAGCCGAACGACGGCGCTTAAAAAGAGGCCACTGATCGTCGGAACTATCACCCCCAGCAAGCGGTGCCCCAGAAGAACCAGTGGCAGGCGGCGCCATAGCCAGGGTAGCACGATCACGCAGAACAGTAGCCTCAACAGCACAGGGCAAAAAGCCACTACCACGCCCGGATTCCGGAAACGGAGAAGGGGCAGACACAGCAGGCGGGAGAACACACTCCAGCACACGTGAGACATCCACCATGGACGACAGAGCCGGCGCAGGTGAAGAGGCACTGGGGAGCGAGGAAACCACTGAAGATGATGAGGTAGACGAGGCTGAGGCAGATGGCGGGGAGGAGGGCTCACCCACGACAAGCCCGGTAAGCAGACGGGCGTCGGCAGGAGAAGCAGGCACTACCCCTTCAGCAGCATCCAAGGCCCCCACGGAATCAACTATCCGCGGATGTACCTCTGCAACCACCGAACGACGAAGACCCGAAGCAAGAGGCTCCAGGTCCACAGAGCTCACTGGAGGGGCAGACATACCAGGGCCAGACAAAGCAGTGCCAGACGGAACGTCTGCCAAATCCGCCGCAGGAACCACACCAGGCACCAGGACAGAGCGAGGATCCGCCGAGGAAACCCCACGCTCCGACAAGCAGGGAAAATCACCCTCCAGGAAAATCGAAGGGACCACAGCACGAGGAACGTCACAGCCGACTGCCACGTGGCCCTCAGCACCACACCAGAAACAGGTCCTTGTCTGGCCCTGATAAAAGATCCGTAGAGGGAGGCCACGATACAAAATCCTGGACGGAATAGGGGTCGTGACCTGCATGACGAGCATACGAGCGCCCATACGGACCCCTCTCAGCCAGCCCGCACTCAAAGTGTTGAACCGGTGGTTCACTACCACACCATTCCGCGTAAATACCGACTTCATCTCCTCCACAGGGAAAGTTACCGGCACACCGTGAACACTCACATATTTCAAGGGGCCCCCAGGGATCCGAGATCACCACGGTCACAGCAGATTCAGTGGTAGTAAGCGTGCGGGCATCCCAGCGTGCCACAAACTCCCGGTACAACAACGATGAGGCGAATTACACCGCCACTCGTGTAGGCGAGAGCTTTTCCAGCCCCAGCAAATCAGCGACGTCCACACGGAGCACATCCAATAGCACTATCTCCACAATGGGCCAGTCTACAGCACCAGAAAAATCCAAGCGCACTGTGTCAACCCGCCGAACGTGGGTATCACAACCAACAACCATACCGCCAGCCGGGTCCCCGGCTAGCGGGTTCACCGCACCCGCCTCCATTCAACACCAGGCAACAACTGGCAGGTCAGGCGAGCACGTCTTGACTCCCTAGCGGCCAGCGAGGCAATCCCACCAATAATTTATATGCTTGACTACATATATAAACAATAAACCCCCATAATGTGAAAGAGGCGATTTGTGAGGACATTTTCGGCAATACAGTCCACTGAACATTATACAATTTGCTATCGAAATATATAAATTAACATAAAATATAAATTCTATATAAATTAATATAAATTAAATAAATATAAATCTCAGAGGCCTATTCCCCACAGGTATCGTTTAAATTAGGTCAATTTATTGTGCCTGTATTTAGGTGTCATTTACCTGTTACTTCCAGGTCTCGGTTAAACCATGGGGGTTTTTCTACCCAAAACACGTAAGTAAATAAATATTTAATATAAATCCTTTATTGTGACATTAACTAGAACTACATCCGTGTAGAAATAATTTCGCGAATTAACATTCATTAATTTAGATCATTTGGTTGGGCTACCAATAAACTGATTAGTGGATTGGAGTCGTGCCCCGAGACTTGCCAGTATTTTTTGCTGTAATTATTTAAATAATTAATTTACTGTATAACTAAATGTGGAAATCTTGGCAGATGATCAAGAACAGCGACTTTGTTCTAAAAGTGACGTTTTCCCAACATCAAATTACCTGAGTGAGTCTCCGCTAACAATTCAGCTATGTTCCTTTTTATATTTCTTTTGGTTAAAAAGATTCTTGAGTAAATCCTGTAATTTGTTGTTTTAAATAATTGAGTTATTTTGTAGTTATTTAAATTGGTATATTTTTATCTATAACGTTCCCATCTATCTATATAATTTATATACTACTGCGAATTAACTCAGCGAATTAAGTTGAAGAGAAAATCGCACATTATGACCTGCTCACCATGACAAGGCTGACGGCGTCGTAGGTGTAGTTGGTGTAGGTCTCAGAGACGAGTGTGTACTCCAGCAGCTGACGCACCCCCAGGAACATCACCCCTGCACCCTCCTGTTGGTCACACCTGTATATAGTCAACACATATCACACTCATCTATCATTTGTAAGCTCTGAATACATTCCTACAAACTGAAAATTTGCATGTTTAAATTAATTATTTGGTAATTTGCATTTTAGGGACAAATGACACTCTGAGCCCCTGAATAGGAAGGTGATGTTTTACGCTTTAGTAAGGTGAAATTATAATTATTTACTTTTATTTATTTGTATGCAAGAAGGAAGATTGGGCTGTGACAGTACACAATATTGGTGTTCTTTGATTCTGCAAACCGCACTAACACGCATAGCGTTACCGGCAGACATTGGTTATATGTATTTTATGTCCTGTGCTTCTACTAGACACCCCGTGTGCTGTACTACTGTACAGACACACCGTGTGCTGTACTACTACCAGACACCCCGTGTGCTGTACTACTACTACCAGACACACCGTGTGCTGTACTACTACTAATACCAGTCACACCGTGTGCTGTACTACTACCAGACACACCGTGTGCTGTACTACTACTACGTGTGCTGTACTGCCAGAAATTTGGAAAGCTGTTAACGTAGTCCTGATATACAAGAAGGGGATAGACGGGAGGCACTGAACTAAAGGCCAGTGTCCGTAACCTGCAAACCATGCAAGCTGATGGAGAAGATTGTGAATGGAAAGCTAGTGGAACATCTGAAGCGAAAGAACTTTGTAACACAGCATCAACATGGGTTCAGGGATGGCAGGTCCTGCCTCATAGGGCTACTTGAATTCTACGACTAGGCAACAAAAATAAGGCAAGAAAGAGAACGGTGGGCAGACTGCATATTTTTGGATTGTCAGAAAGCCTTTGATACAGTACCACACAAGAGGCTAGTGAAAAAGCTGGAGATGCAGGCCGGTGTGTAAAGGAAGGTACTCCATTGGATAAAGGAGTACCTAAGCAACAGGAGACAACGAGTCAGTGTGAGGGGTGAGGTCTCAGATTGGCGAGACGTTACAAGTGGAGTCCCGCAGGGGTCAGTCCTTGGACCTATACTGTTTCTGATATATGAAAATGATCTCCCAGAGGGAATAGAATCGTTTCTCTCAATGTTTGCTGATGATGCAATAATTATGAGGAGGATTGAAACAGAGGATGATAGTAGGAGGCTACAAGATGACCTAGACAGACTGAGTGAATGGTCCAACAAATGGCTGTTGAATTTCAACCCGAGTAAATGCAAAGTAATAAAACTAGGCAGTGGAAACAGGAGGCCAGACACAGGTTACAGAATAGGAGATGAAGTACTTAATGAAACGTACAGAGAGAAAGATCTAGGAGTTGATATCACACCAAACCTGTCTCCTGAAGCCCACATAAAAAGAATAACGTCTGCGGCATATGCGAGGCTGGCTAACATCAGAACAGCGTTCAGGAACCTGTGTAAGGAATCATTCAGAATCTTGTACACCACATATGTGAGACCAATCCTGGAGTATGCGGCCCCAGCATGGAGCCCGTACCTTGTCAAGCACAAGACGAAGCTGGAAAAAGTCCAGAGGTATGCCACTAGACTAGTCCCAGAACTACGAGGCATGAGTTACGAGGAAAGGCTGCGGGAAATGCACCTTACTACCCTGGAAGACAGAGGAGTAAAGGGAGACATGATCACAACCTACAAAATCTTTAGGGGAATCGACCGGGTAAACAAGGATAAACTATTCAACACTGGTGGGACGCGAACAAGGGGACACAGGTGGAAACTGAGTACCCACATGAGCCACAGGGACGTTAGAAGGAACTTTTTCAGTGTCAGAGTAGTTAATGGATGGAATGCATTAGACAGTGATGTGGTGGAGGCTGACTCCATACACAGTTTTAAATGTAGATATGATAGAGCCCAGTAGGCCAGGAATCTGTACATCAGTTGATTGACAGTTGAGAGGCGGGACCAAAGAGCCAAAGCTCAACCCCCGCAAGCACAAATATACCAGACACGCCATGTGCTGTACTACTACCAGACACACTATGTGCTGTACTACTACCAGACACACCATGTGCTGTACTACTACCAGACACACCGTGTGCTGTTCTACTACCAGACACACTATGTGCTGTACTACTACCAGACACACCATGTGCTGTACTACTACCAGACACACCGTGTGCTGTACTACTACCAGACACACCGTGTGCTGTACTACTACCAGACACACCGTGTGCTGTACTACTACCAGACACGCCATGTGCTGTACTACTACCAGACACACCGTGTGCTGTACTACTACCAGACACACCGTGTGCTGTACTACTACCAGACACACCGTGTGCTGTACTACTACCAGACACACCGTGTGCTGTACTACTACCAGACACACCATGTGCTGTACTACTACCAGACACGCCGTGTGCTGTACTACTACCAGACACACCGTGTGCTGTACTACTACCAGACACACCGTGTGCTCTACTACTACCAGACACACCGTGTGCTGTACTACTACCAGACACACCGTGTGCTGTACTACTACCAGACACGCCATGTGCTGTACTACTACCAGATACACCGTGTGCTGTACTACTACCAGACACACCGTGTGCTGTACTACTACCAGACACACCGTGTGCTGTACTACTACCAGACACACCGTGTGCTGTACTACTACCAGACACACCATGTGCTGTACTACTACCAGACACGCCGTGTGCTGTACTACTACCAGACACACCGTGTGCTGTACTACTACCAGACACACCGTGTGCTGTACTACTACCAGACACACCGTGTGCTGTACTACTACTACCAGACACACCGTGTGCTGTACTACTACCAGACACACCGTGTGCTGTACTACTACCAGACACACCGTGTGCTGTACTACTACCAGACACACCGTGTGCTGTACTACTACCAGACACGCCATGTGCTGTACTACTACCAGACACACCGTGTGCTGTACTACTACCAGACACACCATGTGCTGTACTACTACCAGACACACCGTGTGCTGTACTACTACTACCAGACACACCATGTGCTGTACTACTACCAGACACACCATGTGCTGTACTACTACCAGACACACCGTGTGCTGTACTACTACCAGACACACCGTGTGCTGTACTACTACCAGACACACCGTGTGCTGTACTACTACCAGACACGCCGTGTGCTGTACTACTACCAGACACACCATGTGCTGTACTACTACCAGACACACCATGTGCTGTACTACTACTACCAGACACACCATGTGCTGTACTACTACTACCAGACACACCATGTGCTGTACTACTACTACCAGACACACCGCGTGCTTTACTACTACTACCAGACACACCGTGTGCTGTACTACTACCAGACACACCATGTGCTGTACTACTACTACCAGACACACCGCGTGCTTTACTACTACTACCAGACACACCATGTGCTGTACTACTACCAGACACACCATGTGCTGTACTACTACTACCAGACACACCATGTGCTGTACTACTACTACCAGATACACCATGTGCTGTACTACTACTACCAGACACACCGTGTGCTGTACTACTACCAGACACACCATGTGCTGTACTACTACCAGACACACCGTGTGCTGTACTACTACTACCAGACACACCGTGTGCTGTACTACTACTACCAGACACACCATGTGCTGTACTACTACCAGACACCGTGTGCTGTACTACTATTACCAGTCACACCGTGTGCTGTACTACTACTACCAGACACACCATGTGCTGTACTACTACCAGACACACCGTGTGCTGTACTACTACTACCAGACACACCGTGTGCTGTACTACTACTACCAGACACACCGTGTGCTGTACTACTACTACCAGACACACCGTGTGCTGTACTACTACCAGACACACCGTGTGCTGTACTACTACTACCAGACACACCGTGTGCTGTACTACTACTACCAGACACACCATGTGCTGTACTACTACTACCAGACACACCATGTGCTGTACTACTACTACCAGACACACCGTGTGCTGTACTACTACCAGACACACCGTGTGCTGTACTACTACTACCAGACACACCATGTGCTGTACTACTACCAGACACACCGTGTGCTGTACTACTACCAGACACACCATGTGCTGTACTACTACTACCAGATACACCATGTGCTGTACTACTACTACCAGACACACCGTGTGCTGTACTACTACCAGACACACCATGTGCTGTACTACTACCAGACACACCGTGTGCTGTACTACTACTACCAGACACACCGTGTGCTGTACTACTACTACCAGACACACCATGTGCTGTACTACTACCAGACACACCGTGTGCTGTACTACTACTACCAGAGACACCGTGTGCTGTACTACTACCAGACACACCATGTGCTGTACTGCTACCAGACACACCGTGTGCTGTACTACTACTACCAGACACACCGTGTGCTGTACTACTACTACCAGACACACCATGTGCTGTACTACTACCAGACACACCGTGTGCTGTACTACTACTACCAGACACACCGTGTGCTGTACTACTACTACCAGACACACCATGTGCTGTACTACTACCAGACACACCGTGTGCTGTACTACTACTACCAGACACACCGTGTGCTGTACTACTACTACCAGACACACCGTGTGCTGTACTACTACTACCAGACACACCGTGTGCTGTACTACTACCAGACACACTGTGTGCTGTACTACTACTACCAGACACACCGTGTGCTGTACTACTACTACCAGACACACCATGTGCTGTACTACTACTACCAGACACACCATGTGCTGTACTACTACTACCAGACACACCATGTGCTGTACTACTACCAGACACACCGTGTGCTGTACTACTACTACCAGACACACCGTGTGCTGTACTACTACTACCAGACACACCGTGTGCTGTACTACTACTACCAGACACACCATGTGCTGTACTGCTACTACCAGACACACCGTGTGCTGTACTACTACCAGACACACCATGTGCTGTACTACTACCAGACACACCATGTGCTGTACTACTAC